TATCTGTTGCGTCTATAATGAGAAAATTGTTAATAACGTCTCATACCGAAGAACGTAGATTCCATACAAATTCAGAAAGATGCAAAATACGACTCAGATCGTGACAAAATCAATTTGATTCCAAACAAAGCATTCAGATATTACAACTTATAGTCATCGATTCTTTTTCGACGCATTCGCATATAGTTAATATTTCATAATATTTTTACTTTTTATGATCTGAGAGTGACTTTTAAAAACATTCATTCCTGTTTCGAGGATTTTGATAATGAAGACGACATTTTCCATATTTTCCGGGAATGCGCCAGTCGTGAAAACAAGTTGTAAGCGAAATATTAATTTTAAAAAACACAAAATAAAAGATATTATGAAATATAAACTATATACAAATGCGTCGAAAAATAATCGATGACTATAGGATTTAATATCTAAATAATTTTTTTGATATTAATTTGATTTTTTTTATGTTCCAACTTCCGCAATTTGTATGAACGCTTCGTTCTTCGATATGAGACGTTTTTAACAATTTTCTCCATATAGACGCAACAGATAGAAGTAAGATTAGTAGCAATTTTTTACCGCCGTAGGCATATTCCCGTTTCATTTTACGCGAAAACTCCCTTTAATAATGACCTTAAACTTTTAAAATATGATAACAAGAAGGAGCAATTTAAGATCTTCAAGGGTGTATACAGAAATAAATCTAGGGGAGCGAAATAAAAAGAAATATTACAAAACGGCGGTGCAAAGAATGAAGTAAATTGAATCCAAATTTTAAAAAAATGGTCTTTTACTACCTCCAAACTCAAGCCTTCGTGGCTTAATAATAATTGTTTTACTTCCTTGTCCCTGATAGCGCCCATCCGATTCGGATGAATGTGCATTCTAAATAGATTTTTCATTCGGACTTCTTTCATGATGGCTCTGGTCTACGTAACAATCTTCTGCAAACAGCAAACTATTTATTTTTATTTTCTCCACTCTTGAGTTTAAGATTTTTAGAAGTGTGAAAGCTCTGAGTTCTAGGGAGGGTACTGTCCCCTTGCCCTCCCTGTATACGCCCTTGGGGATCATGCCTCATAAATAATCTCTTATTGGTTTATAAAATAATGAGAATAATAAATTATCTACGGGGAGTCATAAATGTAAGCAATAGAACAAGGATAAATTCTGCGCAGTCGTCTATATAAGTTTCAGCCTTGGTGGGTAACCCTGTAGTTGGTGGGTAACCCTGTAGTTGGTGGGTAACCCTGTAGTTGGTCACTTTTACCCAAAGATAATATATATATAGATATGCAGGCAGGTAGAAACCTCCTTCCTAAATTGCTTGTAGCAGACAACTAATTTTTGAACCTCTGAGAAAAGGTGCAAGGAGAGACATCTATAGCAAATTGATTACTTTCTATATTCCTTTCTCCCCTTGCTGCCATCTGTAGGAAATACGCATTTGTGTTATATAAACATACAGTACGCGTATTGCATCCTGTATAGTTCAAGTGTTGCTATCTGGACCTGTTTGACCAATAAAATTAAATTTCAAGGTAACACAAACATACAGTACGCGTTTTGCTTATGTTATGATCAGATCAGTTGTAATTTGTCCTAGACTCGATGTACTTTTATAGTCATAATTTTTATTTAAATTGCGTTAATTTACGTATGCCATTCAGTACAACTTGCACATTTAAACTTTGTCTAGTCAAATTCCTACCTCAGTTTTATTTGCATTGATTAATTTGTTTCATTAAGTACAATATGCAGTATACATTGTTGATACTATAGTACGCATTTAGTGTTATCACGCATAAACAAAGTGATAAATTAGCGACAATCCAGAGGATAAAATGCCATGCGTACGACAGAGATGGTGCTGTTTGCACCTTTTCTCAAGACCTCAAAATTTATACCTGTTTGCATATCTCTATATATATTATCTTTGCTTTTACCGCGTTTAAAAATTCTCAGAGAGAGGGAGGAGGCAGGGTTAACAGCTCAAGTTTATTTGTTTTAAATTAAAAGGAACGTTGAGGAAATGAGATCCAGATTTATAGAACTTTAAGACAACGCTTCATGATCTTGTAGAGGGGAGGTAGAGCTGTTTTAGGAGGAATTCATCATTTGATAAAATTCTTCATAATTTATCTGCCCGTCTCCATCAATATCCGCCTCATCTATCATTGCCTGAACATAACATATATCTAAACATAACATATATCCATCTCATCTATCATAGCCTAAAAATAATATATCCGCCTCATCTGTCATAGCCTAAACATAATATATCCGCCTCAAATAATATAGCCTAAACATAATATATCCTCATCATCTAATATAGCCAAACATAATATATCCGCCTTATCTATGAAAGGCTAAAAATCATATATCCGCCTCTCATAGGCTAAACATAATATATCCGCCTCATCTATCATAGGCTAAGCATAATATATCCACCTCATCTATCATAGGCTAAACATGATGTATCCGCCTCATCTATCATAGGATAAACAAAATATATCCGCCTCAAATAATATAGCCTAAACCTAATATATCCTCATCATCTAATATAACCAAACATAATATATCCGCCTTATCTATCAAAGGCTAAAAATAATATATCTGCCTCATCTATCATAGGATAAACAAAACATATCCGCCTCATCTATCATAGGCTAAGAATAATATATCCGCCTCATCTATCATAGGCTAAACATAATATATCCACCTCATCAATCGTAGGATAAACAAAATATATCCGCCTCAAATAATATACCCTAAACATAATATATCCTCATCATCTAATATAGCCAAACATAATGTATTCGCCTTATCTATCAAAGGCTAAAAATAATATATCTGCCTCGTCTATCATAGGCTAAACATAATATATCCACCTCATCTATAATAGCCTAAACAATAAACATTATACATCCGCAAAGAATTAATATTATATATGTATGTATAAAAAGATGATACCTGTATCTCCTCTAATGCTAGAGTTTCTCCTGATATTTTATGTTTACATTCTTGTTCTAACGATTTTACTTTAATCGATTAAAGCAGCAAGCCCGTAACTTTGTGTATAGGGGAGATGGGGGGGGGGGCACAGGACACAGGGCAAAAAGAGTTGGGGAAATATCTCTACACATTAAAAGTTTGATCTTATAGGGGGAAAAATGTCCCCTTGCCCCCCCCCCTTTTGTCAGTTACGGCCCGGCCTGTACATCAGAAATAATAAATACATGTTATTAATCATGCGCGAATTGTGTACGTTCCCTGTTGATAAATAATTATATACAATTGTATATCGTCTTTTCGAACTAACTATTTTAAAAAAATTGCTTTAATCTGTATATATATGAGCAATTAAAAATTTTGCAAGTTGATTTCTATAACTTCGTTGGTAATTTACCAATAAGGACTATTTAAAGATTGTAATGAATGTCGTCTTCAAAAAGATGCAAATCTGACAAATAATTGCATATTTACAAATAATGAAGCAGTTGACCTTAAATATGGTAATCTAATGGCTTATTTAATGACTTGGCAAAGAAAGAAACAAGTTTACAGTTGCAGGGAATCCTGAATTTAAGGAAACAGACGAAATTAATTCAGAAGTCTCATCCTTTGTGGGTAACCATTAACCAATCGTATNAGGTTGACGAATAAATGCTGCAAATTATTTTTTCTAAATCAAAGACGATCTTCCAGTCGACTCTCAACTGTCATGTTTTAGGGGACACCCTGTACTTTAAAACTTCTGAAGTTATAAAAGAATGTAACTATCCTAGATTCATCATAACTAGAGAGAGCTCGTTCCTGTTTATATATCCATTCCCATCCTGAATATATAATTCCTGTTTATATATCCATTCCCATCCTAAATATATAATTCCTGTTTATATAACTATTCCCATCCTTAATATATAATTCCTGTTTATATATCTATTCCCATCCTTAATATATAATTCCTGTTTATATATCTATTCCCATCCTTAATATGTAATTCCTGTTTATATATCTGTTCTCATCCTAAATATTTATATATATGATAAATACTTTGCTTGTCTGGGTGTCTGTCTATCTGTCTGCTGTCCGTTTGTATCCAATAAACGTCAAACCGGCTGAACCAATCGGTTCCAAATTTTGTGTGGGACCTCAAGTGACCCCAGGGAAGGTTTATGAATGATCAAAATTTCAAAAATTTGTGTTTAAAAGATTATTTTTGTAAAATTTTGAACATGCGCAAAAATTATTGTAAAATTCGCAAGCTTTTAAATTTTTTGCTTATTTTGTATACAAAGAGAAGATGTTCACAGATAAAGCCACAATTAAAAGTTGAAATAGAAGATGGACACGAAGCGCCCTAAAAGCCTTAATATATAATATCTGTTTATATATCAATTCCCATCCTGAATATATAATTCCTGTTTATATATCCATTACCATCCTAAATATAAGTCCTGTTACATACAGGGTTATCCACATAAGATGAAACTGTAAGACGATTGTACGGAATTTCTATTGTCTCTTTCTTTATATTCACGATTCCCTGCGAATGTAAACTTAAGTTTCTTTCTTTGTCAAATTAAATACTCCTGTAAACCGTAGGTGGGTGTCGACAATAATTTGTCAGGTTGGCTGGTTGGTCAATTGGTTGGTTGGTCGGTTTTTCGATAGGTTCTTTGATCAATAGGTTCGTTGGTTGGGCTCCTCAGTCTCCAATAATCAGTAAATAGTTATATTTCAAACCTGTAATAAATTCAGGTATAATGAAAAATAAAAATGACAATGTATTAATTTAGTTAAATATTTAAAATATATCTTACAAGTTTTTCGTGACAGAGTGAAAGGAGTGACTTGAAAATACTTCTGAAAACATGAACCCGGTTTTTAAGTGAAATTAGTTATTGATTGCAAAGTTATTTCTGGATTTGATCTTTCACTTAGTAAACCGTTTCACTGTTTGTTGTTTCTTTGTCGGAGAGTATAAATAAATTTTAATGAAGACTTACTTTGGTTTGGTTTATCTCCGAGGGAGGTTTTGGTAAAGACGACTTAAGGGGGGGGGGGGAGGGGGTTAGAAGTTGTATTTATGGTCAACAACGCCATTATAATAACTATATCTACGACAGAATACATAATCTAACCTTCGGATCATCGCATTTTAATAGTTTTCGATCGTCTTTACATTCTCATCCTTTTTGTATAGCCCTGTATATATATTCCAGTCCCGTTAGTATATTTAAATATTGTAGAATCATGACTTGTATGTTTTTGTCATATTGTCTTTTTTAATTTTTGTTTTCCATCAAAGCTTTTTGAAAGTTTATTTTCTTACATAATCTTTTTCTAATTACATATTTATAATTCTTACAGTTTTAAATAAAGAGTGTGAAAGATGAAGCATTTAAATTTAAATATAAAAATATATCCTAAAAAAATAGTTTCCAAGTAATTGACATTAAAGATATTTGCGAAAACAACACATTTTTGCAGTTTATTTTAACTTCTGCAAATATTTGGAACAAAAGATTTGCATTTCTTTCATTCAGTGAAAAATTTTTATAACAAATCAGGATTCCAGGGGGGAGGGCGTGTGTTTCCTCCCCTCCCTGCGTTTTTTCCTTTATAACTTTAACTTAAAAACGGCTTACCCTTGAACGATCAAACTTACGCTCATCGACATCA